CCCCCCCTCCGTCTACCTACAACACACCCCCCTCCCCCGTGCACAGGCCATGTATACAATCGCCCCTCCACTGACCCAACTATAGTGGGAAAAGTACAGCTGTAGTAGTGGCCTGGCCTGTCCTCTTTACCTGTCGTGTGGGGGGCTCTGTGCGAGGCCTGTGTGAGGGATGTGTGAGGGATGTGTGCGGGGGGATGTGGGGGGGGATGTGCGGCACCCTGTGTGCGCGGGACAGTCGTGGAGGGGCGGCACCCCCGAAATCTCGGGCCCTGGCTGGCAATATCTAGAGATAGAGTGGGGGAAGACGGGAAGAGAGCGAGGCTGCTGTGACGTGCACAGTAAGTTGTGGCGCGCGGCGAGGTGGGGCACAGACAGATCTCCCCACAAATCCTTCACACGTTCCTGGCGTCTGCTTCACGTCTGCGCCCGTCCCGCCCGCCGCTAACGGCTCCCTCTGGTACCCGACCGGCCCCTCCTCCACCCGGCCACAGAGGCACACACAGAGAGACTCTACCCCAGCCAGGCAGCCAGCTCGCGCGCAGATGGGCCGTGGAGTTCGGGAGTGACAGGATCTTCTTGACTAGATCTAGTGTCTACTACTACAACTGCTACCCTCCGACACACACCACCACTACAACTTGCTATTTAGGACCAAGTTTTAGAGCTGCTTCAGTCGGACCATAGGTATCCACCACTATAGAGGTTTCATCGTCTTAACCATCGATTTCATCGTCTCAACGATTGATTTCATCGTCTCTACCATTGATTTCCTGGGGCTGCCCGATTGATTTGTTGGTGTGAATGTTGTGTCCTCGGTGTTCATGTCATGTGTGTTTGTGTGTGGCGTGAGGGCAGGGAGATTGCCTGTGTATCCGCGCGCTGATCGTTCTGTGATTGCTGATTGTGACAGGCATCGTCAGGGGTCAGTCCATCAACTCGTGCCTGCCCGGGGCTGACCACACAACGGTGAGACTCACTGACTTCTCCTTACTGAACACAATCTCTCACTCTCACTCATCCAGATTTACACAGCTCATCTCTCTCTCTCTCTCTCTCTCTCTCTCTCTCTCTCTCTCTCTTCTCTCTCTTTTCTCTCTTTCTCTTTCTCTCTCTCTGTCTTTCTCTGTCTCTCTCTGTCTCTCTTCTCTTTCTCTCTCTTTCTCTCTCTCTCTCTCTCT